GCCTCTGAACTGTTTTCCCCTCTGGTCTTGCAAAGGCTGCTGTCTTTGAGGAGATCAAGGCAGCTGAGCACCCAGGGAAGGAGGTTTCCAGAAAAGACTAATAGAGAAGCATACATCCTGCGAGAGGTAAATCACAGTAACTTGGCTCTCCTGTGTGAAGTAGTTTCAGGTATCCACTGCATTTCCCATTCCCAAGTGGGCATTTCCCAGTGCAAGGGCAATGCTTGACCATAAGGAACAAATCAGCAACTCTTGAAGTTGGACAGACCCTCAGGTTGCTGTGCCTTCACCTTTGCCAGCCAGCAGTTTTGTCAGGCCAGGCTTAGCAGGGCCCCTGAGTGGAAGTTCCCTTCCTCTCCAGATAGATCTAACTGTTCAGAAGTCCATTTTTCCATGCAACCTTCATCCCCCTGCCAGGTCTCCCAACCCAGGGCCCCAGTCAAGTCTGGGGGTTCCATGCAGACCCCAATACTGACTCTGGGTTGCCACTTTTTTTAGCAGGTGCTGGCTTTCATACCTTTCTTATTCTGGACTGGGGCTCACAATGCCCAGTGGGCATCAGGCCTACCAGAGGGTCCTGGAGCCCAGGCTGCTTCTGAGACAGCAGCAGAGCCTCTGGGGCCAGGGCTTCATCCCGGCTAGGGGACATGGCTCCCAGTAGGGCCAGCCAGCCTTGGATTCCCCAGGCTGCTGACTTGCTACATCCTCAGTATGGCCCCTTTGTGGGACTGGCTGAGCTCCGGGCATGAGGGGGCGCTGGGCAGGGAGCCCACTGTCTCCTCCTCATTACTTCCCTTCCTCCTCATCTCAGGAGCCTCCATGCCGGCCAACTGTACTAAAACTCCGGAAAACCATGGCGGGGAGGTTTTCCAATTAGAACATTCTTTTTCCAATCTGTGGATGATTCTTAAAGCAGCAAAAAGCCATTCTTCAGGGCATGTGGGGATTATCTGCCAGCGGGGCTTTGGCTCAGCTTTTGCACTTGTCCGTGAAGGTTTGGCCTGGGGGTGCTTCACAGCCAAAAATAAAAGGCAGTCTGAATTCTGGGGCATCAGGTCACACCGGCCAAGACTTATGGTGGAGTGTTTTCTCAGCTTATTCAAAGTAATGGATTCAAAAGGCAGCAAGGATTTCATGCTGCAGGGATGGGAGATGTCCCAATAGCCAAGGATGCCTGCCTACATGACCTTTCTGCTCCTGGTGGAGCCACTGTGCACAGAGTATGGATTCTTCCCCTTGGAGCTGAACTGGTCTGCCTTCTCCACCAGACTGGGTGCTGCTCCAAGCCAAGACTGGGGGTGACAGTGTGGTGAGAGAAGGAGTCCCAAAGGGGGCATTTGGTGACTGAGAGCATGCAGGTGTGTGGAGGTGGGGGCCAGCCCCTTAGCCAGAAGCACAGGCTGAGGGTAGGACAAGGGGGGAATCTCACTCCATGTACTAGCCCTACAGGTTCAGGTCCCTGTACAAGCTGCTGTGGGTACAGTCACACATGGGGACTGGTGTACCCAGGGGTCTCACCCTCCTTGGAGCCAACAGAGTCAACCAGCAAGTGGAAACTGGTTGAAAAGCTTAGAAGGATGAGACAGCAGGGCAGGCCCTGGAAGGGAGGGAAGGAGGGGATTAAGGTGCAAACAGGAGCCCAGCCCTCTACACACAGGAACCTGAGCACCCAGACTGGGTGAGGCCTCCATTCAGTACAATTGGAGCCTGGTTTTAGTCTCAGCTGTGCCTCAAACTGGCTTTGTGGCCCAAGCTTGATGCCATCCCTCTCTGGACCTCTGTTTCATAATTTGTACAATGGTAGAGTTCGGGTCAATTGATTGTCTCCAGTTCCTTCTGGTGTGGGAACATTCTACTGGGGTTGGCTTTGGGGCCTGATAGCTTTCAGAGCCCCAACCATCATCCCCCTCCATAGCCTGGGAATGCTTCAGCTAGACTGGCATACAAGTTTTGTTCCCAGCCCTGGAGATCAGAGGGGTCTCTCTGGAGCTTATGAGCCCTGCTGGTGAGTTCTTTCCAAACAGCCACCTATCCCTGTATATATCTGCTTGCTTCAACCTGGCCTCCTGAAGAATCTGTCTCCACTGTCTGCTCATGGGCTGTGGCCCCACTTGGCATAGTGGATCTCTCTACTCCTGCCTCTGCCTTCCAGACCTCTTGCCTAACCAGGCAGCCCAGCCTGGCTTCACCCTCAAGCCCACCCTACTTAGAGGCAGCATCTGTACCCTCAAACCAGAGCCTTGCTGAGGGCCTGCTTATTGGTGGGGAGGCTTCCTGAGCTGTGGGCTTCAGGAGGACTCTGCAAGAGCCTGGCCAGCCTTAGAGCTGAAGATAGGGGCCAAGGCACAAGGAGAGCTGAGAGTGGAGAGGGATGGAGCCAAGCTCAGGCCAGTCAAGGGTATAGCCCAGGCTGGGAGCAGCTAGCAAACACTAGGGGCTTGGCCCTCAAGATCTAGACCAAGAGGAAGTTTATGAAGGAGTCAGTGTTGCAGCTGAGAGTGGGTAGCAGGTCACCACCAAGTGAACATCTTGTGCATGGGCCTGGTGGTATAAGAGAGAGTAGTGGGAGTGTCTGGGTCCAGGTACCTGAGGTCAAGGAGTCAAAGAGGAGGCTGATAAAGTTGGCAGGGTCCCTGAAGCCTGGATGAGGTGGCCGGGGTAGCTCTGGCAGGGTGGGGGCATTCTTCTGGAGCAGTGAACAGGTGGGCAAGGCAGGTCAGAGTAGGGCAGGGCAGTTACTGTTCGAGTCAAACCTGTTTGCAAGTGAGATCAGCGCAGGCCCTGGCAGCCTGGCAGAGAAGGAGGAGTTGAAGAAAGCCTGGTCCCTTTGGCTGGTGCTATTGTGGCAGATCTGGCCTAGACAGGGCTGAATCACCTGGAATGTGGGAAGAGCTCAAGACCCTAGAACAGCCCAGCTGATGGGCCCCCTGTGCTGACTGGCCATTGATGGACTTTGGATACCACTCTTGCTTGTGCTCTCTAGCTGGCCTACCTAGACTTAGGGCTCTAGAGTGAGGTTGCTCCTTCCCAGTGGTGGCCTTGGGAGGGAAGGGCCACCTCGTTCCTCACCCCTACATCAAATCCATCACTTGTCCTCTGTATTCTTGAAGGGGAAGAGGGCCCAGAGAGATGTGACACACCATAGGTCCTACAGTAAGTATGTTTAGGGCCTAGGATGCCAAGCCAAATACATCACAGCCACCAGAAGTCCAATGTCAGGGGAGGGGCAGGAAAGAGTCTGATGTTGGCCACCAGACTGGAAGCAGAAAAATGCTTATTAGCAAGAGACAGAGATGAACTGAAGTGACCATGTACAATCCCCCCAGCTTTACTCCGCATACATATTCACACAGACACAGGGTCACTTCCTCCCTACCTGATAAAGCCCAGGAAGTGAAGGATGAGGGCAGCTTCCAGAATCTCAATCACCCCTCAATCTTCTTCTGTATATCCCCTCAGACACCCTGTGCTGGTCTCCATGCCCTAGTGATGACTCAGACAGGGTCCTCCCCTCCCAGAGCTCGCCATCTAGAACAAGAAAAGATTTTGGCCACTGTGCTAGATCAATGTAATCAGAACAAACTAGGGGAACACACAGAAGGAAGTGATTGACATAACTGAGTGGTCTGTGCAGTCAGGGAAGGATTTAGAGGACACTTGAGGGAAGTTTTGTAGAGTGACTAAGAGTTCACTAGTCAGACAATGGGACAAAGGACATTTTAGGGAGTGTCAGTGCCAGGAGCAAATGACTCGAGGAAACAGGACTTCTGATGTATTCTAAAGGAAGAAGGAGGCAAGCGTGGCCAGAATGTAGTCAATCCAAGAGGCGAGTGGCTGAACCTGCAAAGAGCTGGGTGCAGCAGAATCCTTGGGCCCCTTAAAGAGTTTCTTTTTTATCCTGAGAGTAATGGAAAGTCAACAAAGAGCTGCAAGCAGGGAGCAATGTGAAACAATTAGAGACTTCTGTGTGAAGACTACATTCCAAGGCAGGTGACACCAGTAGGAGGGAGACCAGCAAGGGTGGTGGCAGTGGGTGTGGAGAGAAATGGATGGATTGGACGACCATTTGGGACATAGACTTGGCAGGGCTGCATGAAGGAGAACCTGTTGGTCCATCCTTTTGATTCTGCCATTCTGATAGGGCAACTCTTGACCAACTCTGCTGTCTCTTAGACTGGCTTAACTATCTCTTGACTGGAAGGCTTCCCAGGCCCTCCACCCCCAACACACACACACAGGTAGGGTTAGGGGTTTCTTTTGATGCTCCATCCATCCTAGCACTCAGTATACCTGACTGAATGACACACATGCTGAAAAACAGGAACGGATGACACTGATCAAACTGCACTAGCCCTTGGTGTTTGAATGAGTCTCCCTGCTCAGCCTGTGAGGTGGCCCTGCTTGCTGACAGGGTGCTCACTGCTGCTGCTATGCCTTGGGAACCCCGAATCCACCCAGGATGGCCTGCTAGGACAATAACTTCCCCACTGTGGCCTCACTTTCTTCTTCTTCCCAGCCTCTGGGACTTCCTGCATGATCTCAGCCGCCAGCAACCCTCCTCTGCCCCTCTTCCCGCCCCTGTCTGGGATCTCCATCTGTAAAATGGATCTAGGAACAGTAGTTCTCGGCAGAATTAACCCGCAGCATCTGTGGAAGTCATTGGCCTCAAGCGGGGGCCAGATCGCAGCGGGCAGGGGCGCAACTAGGCAGCTGAAGCACTTCACGTGGCGGAGGCCTCCCAGCCCGCGGCCGCATTTGCCTGGAAGTTTTCCCACCGCAGCAGAGCCTTCTGGAGCTTGCTCCGGACTTGGTGCTAGGAGCCAGGGACTTGATTTCTCCTGCAGCCCCGAGGGTGGGGCCGGGAAGGGGCGGGCGAGCCAGGACACTGGCCGGAGAATGTGCGGAATGTGCCAGGCCCATCTACCTACCCCAGGAGAGGGCAGAGGAAGGGGGCTGGCTTAGGGGAGGGGCGAGGGGAGAGGCTCCGGGCGCCGGAGAAAACCTGTTTGTTCTCCCGCGGGTGGAGCCCAGTGCGAGCTTCCTCGCCGCCCTGCAAGTTCGCCACCTTGCCCAGCGCCCCGCGCCCGGCGCCCAGCGCTCGTCCCCGGCCCGGCCTGGTGGAGAGAGCCGGAGCCCCGCCTCCACCCGACCCTCCGCTCGCCACGCGAGCCGTGCACCTGTGCCAGGTAAGGCTGTCGAGGCGCTGTCGGCGCGGCTGGCAGAGAGGCGGCGGGGGAAAATGGGCTCCTTGGGCAGCCCGGTGACAGGGATAACTCCGGGCCTCAGTTTCCCCATCCATAATCTTCACCCGCCCCAAGCATACCTTCTGGGCTTTTGCTGGGGAGACAGTGCACCTGGTTTTCTGTTTCTCATTGTGAGCAAGGACACTGACAGAGGCAAAGAAGACTGGCCTGTTTCCTCTGCCCTCGCTTTTTCTGTGAGAGAGGGTTTGATTGCTAGGAAATGGCCTGGGTCCAGGGTGCTCTGAGGGATTATTGCAGGCCTATTAAGGAATCTCAGATCAGCTAGTTCACCCTGTGTCTATTTTATAGATGAGAAAACTGAGACCCAGAGTAGGGGGCTCACAGGCTACTTGTGATGGGCGTGTGCTGGGCACCAGACAATCTTCTGGAGGGCCACGGGGAAGGTAGCTACTCAGACAGAAGGCGCCGAATCAAGTGTCACTGGGTGTTATCGATGGGATCTGCAGCCAGTGGACTCTGTGGCTGGATTGTTTTGATGGGGGCAGGGGAAGCCAAGAGTCTGTCCTCTTTGGAAAGACAGAGTGATACCTTGCCTCAAAAAGAGACGGAAAGCTCAGCTCCTCCCTCTATCCATCCTCCTTGCTACTTCCAAGCTGGGGTCATCTGAGCAGCTGTCAGTCCAAGGAGGTAACTTGCCAGGTCACCTGCCACCCAGGGTTGCTGGGGGCTCAGATAAGGTCAGAGGTGGGTGTGCCTGGATTTTGCAACACCCAAAGTGCAGTAGGAATTGTGTTCTCACTCAGCCATTTGCACTTAGCCTTGGCATCACGGAAGGCTGTGCAGCTACATCTCAGGCAACAATCTGTGAACCTTGAGAAAGAGCCCCTCATACCCAGCAGAGTTTGAGGCCTCTGGTAGCCAGACCCAGTCTTGCCTTGGTTTCATGGTCCTTCAGACTTCTGATTTTGGTACCTGGCTGGGGACAGGGAACAGGGTCCCATGAGCTGATAGGCCTGGACAGTGGGGCGGGTGTCTGGGTTCCCACTCCCTCCTCACCAGCTCACATAAAGGTGTGGAGGAAGTCTGGGGGGAGGGTGTGGTCCTACATTCCCAGGGCCTCCACTGCCTCATCTGAAAAATCAGGGACAGCTCAGAGACCCTGCTTGCCACGTAGAAGCAAGTGGCCAAGACATAGATGCACACAGACCAAGGGCCAGCTTGAAGGCTGGTCTTGGTGCTTGTGCTGTTTGCCTCATCACCTGTGGACCACCCCAGGATGGGTGAGGTGTCACTTGCCCTACCTCCTCCTTCCATCAATTTCCAGCCCCAGCCCTGTGCCTTGCTGGCTTGGCTTTTGGAAGTTTTGGTCTGGCTGGCGGCTCCATACTCAGCTGTAGAGAGCTGATGGAAGACACCCAGCACAAGGCCAGACACACAGCAGATGCTCCACATTTGTTCATTTTAACTTTCTAGCCAGTCACAAGACAACAACAGAGGTGGCCAATGGCCACATTGTGTGCTGCAGCTCTGAGTGGCATAAGCACAAGGGGCTGTGGGTGCCTGGAGCAAGGGAGCAGCTCTGGCAGCAGGGATCAGGGAAGGCTTCCTAGAGGAGGAGGGCTTGGAAGCAGGAGGAGGAGCTCAGTGGTTACCAGGTCAAGGCCCTCACCTCCTTTGGGATGACTTGAGACTGACCTTGCACCCAAAAGACCAAAACCAGTTCTTTCTAAGGTCCTGTATGTTCCACCCAGAGCTAAGCAGTGGGAACCTCAAAAGAAATCATATGCAGACCTGCCCAGGGTGTGACAGTCCAGTTGGGGAGAGAGACACCACTCAGTAAGGAGCTACCATCTACATTGAAATTGTGTACCTCAGTTCCTTCTCAACTTGAGTCGACTCCAGACAGAGCCTCCCACCTGAGGGCAGTGACCCCAGGGGCAGCCATCGCTTCACCTTGGCCTCCTTTAGCCTTCCCTGTGATTCTTGTGTTTCTGCTTAATGTCCCTCTGGCTTCCTGAGATCTAGCAGGGCAGAGTCTCTGCATCTTCAGCAGTGGGCCCAGGACTTGACCACCCTAAGCTTTGTTACCTGGTCCCTGAACTTTCCTCAGTCACTTGCCAAGAAAAGTCCCCAATCTGGCTCAATGCACTCAGTAAGCTGGAAGCCCTCCTCTCTTCCTCACTCAGCCTCCATGGGTGGCTTATCTCTTTGGCTCTTTGGTCTGAATCTTGCTTCAAGCTGTAGCCTATCGGGTGCCAGTTTATGTGTAATACCAGTTTGTTTTCTGCTTGCTGCCCCCACTGTCAGGCCCTCATGGCATGGGACAAGACCATGGCCCAGGAAGAGGAGAGCTGCAGCCCACATGGTGTGCCTGGCCTTTGGGTTTTTATAGTTGGGATCCACCAAGGACCCTGCATTCATTTCCACTGTGCCCACAGAGAGCTGGCTGGCTAATGTCAAGACAAGGACAGCACAACCAGGGGACCCATGCACTTGAGACTTATGCTCAAGAGCAGTTGGCATCACTGCTTCCAAGGGTCGGAGAGCTGGCAGAGGACTCATGAAGTGCAGTGGGGAAGGGAATGGTGGGGCAGGGTGGCGCACTTATGGCCTAGGGATGAGTACGGCTGGGAGCTCAGACTGAGTTCAAACCCCAACACATCCACCATCTAGTTGTGTAAACCTAAGCACATCACACAGCCTTTGGAGACCTGAGTTTTGTCACCTGTACAGAACAGAGGCTGAAGCCAGGAGCATGTGCTATACAGCAACAAGAAGCTGGCACCTGACACACAGGAAGTCCTCTATCAGGGATGTCGGTTAAGCCAGGACAACAGTGTCTACCTCCAGAGGTCGTGATGGCCAGGAGTTCGGTTGGGGCCAGGTTGGGAGGGATGTAGGCTCCCCACTTGAAGAAAAACAGTTGTTTAAAAATCACTGCTAGTCTGCTGCTGATGCATATGGCAGTCAAACTCACACTTAAATGATTTGCCACAGAAAACTTAATTCTTCGGTCATTTCTGGATGCCTATTAAAATCTGATTTGCTTTCCTTTAAAGTTTTTACTTTTTAATTTTTAAGTTTTTATTTTTGGTTAATTTAAAGGTCACAGAACAGTTGTAAGAATGGTACAAAGCACTCCCTTGAAGTCTTATCTGGGTTCCTCACTGTTAATATTTCTGGTGGTTTTCTTCAGGAAGGGGAAAGTTGACATGGAGACACTGGTGTGACAGTAACCTTCCGCTAGGGTCAAGAGGTGGACAGTACTTGTGTCAGTTCATTTTCCCAAAGGGAAACTGAGGCACAAAGAAGAACTCAATCAACACTCATTTGAGGATTAAGAATGGAAACACATTATCATATCTCTCAGATATACACGTATGTATTTGGAGAGTATTTTCTGATCCCTTGTCTGTGTTGGGCACTGGGCTACAGGGAAGACTAAGAACTGAGAAGAGCAGGGATGGGGAAGTGGGAGGAGCAGGCCTGGGTGGAGAAGGGACTGGAAGATGAGAGGAAAAGAGGCCCTGTGGGTGTCATTCTCAAACTCTAATGTGCGTAGGCAGGAATCTGCAGCTGAAGCACACGTCCCAGAAGGATCCGGAGACCACCTTCAGAAACACTGTCTGTGCTCTTCCCATGGAAAGTGTACTCACTTCCCATTTCAAGAGGGAGTGGAGAACTGGAGCTGCTGGTGGTAGCCACTGAGGTGACTGTGGAGCTCTGTGGCCACAGCCTGGGTCAGAGAGGAGACCTGACCTCTGGGGCCAGTGGTGGACAGTCCCCATACTGCTGCTGGTTGTTGAAGGTGGTCCCTGGCCTTGGCCCCATCCGAGGGCATACCTCAGGCATTCATCTAACCCCGTTGGTCTGGTACCTGTGACGTTGGCTCAGAATGCCACTTTCTGATGACTAGGTCAGCTATGGAAACAGGCTCAAGGATTCTAATCACAAGAATGAGTATCCCTGGTGAAAATACTCATATTGAGCAGTACCTTTAGACTGAAAACAAAAACAAAAAATCTGAAAACCAAAAACTAGGACTTGCCTCACCACTTCTGCTCAGTGAGCTCCTATTCACTCTTTCATCTTTCAGGAGCATCCAAGCCCAGGGCACCACCACCTTGGGAAATTCAGTGCTCTGGCAGTACCCTTGAAAGGCTTCTCTAAGCTATCTGTCTGTCTGTCTGAGCAGCAACCAGCCCAGCATCAACTTTCCATAAATGCTTGTTGAATAATGAAAATGTGGTCTTGGACAGATGCTTTCTCCTCCCTGGGTCTCCATAGTCTTATCCAAAAAATGGGGACAATGATAAGAAGTAAGAGTGGAGCTCAGAGGAATCTGGGCCTAGCTTGGACAGGAAGGTGAGAAAGGAGGGGATTGGGAGTGAAGGGAGTGGGAGAAAGCTGCCAGGAGTAGAAGGAGGCCTTCCCAAAGCCAGCTGTGGTGGGAGATGTGGGTGGGGAAAGGGGGCTGGGCACTGCTTTTCCTCTAGAGCCTCACTTGCAATCACCCATAACTAGGACAAAAAGAATTAGCTTTGGCCAATGGTAGTTAGGGGCAAATGTGGGGGAACTTTCCTGTCACTAGGCCTGCTCTGGCAGAGGATGAATGGGTCATAGCAGTGAGGGTACAGGGATATACCTGGAGGGGGAGAGTTGGTTGGGGTAAGGGTGGGCTTCATGATCCTTGAGTCCCTTTCAACCCCCTTGGCTGTCTGTGTGCAGATGGGGATAACATCTGTGTCCCGCTAGGACAGGCTTAAAACTGCCTTGGTTCCCAAACTACAGAGACAACTAGGGTGTTGGGGGTAGGGGAACAGAGCCAGCCCAGGGCCCATAGCAGGGCTCCCAGGGTACCTCAGGGCCCCATCTCCTGGTATAGCAGGGGAGGTGGAAGCCATGGGAACAATAAAAATAGCTCATGTAGATGACTTTGGCAAATAATTCATTTTGGAGCAAGGGCTCCTGGGTCCTGTTGGGTCCAGCATGTTGGCCCTGCCCAGCCCTGGGCTTCCATAGAGACATCTCAGAGAGCTGTGCCCAGAAGCCCTTACTGGCCTTTGAGGTCCTACCACCTCTGAAATGGTCCTGTCACCCCAAGCAGTCACTTGTATTCTGCCTGCCAAGAGCTAGAAAATGGGCACAGGAGAGCCAGGAGAAAATCCCAGCCCCTCAAGAGTGACAATGGCCAGGTGGCCATGGCTCCCTTTGCCCTGTCAGGGCTCAAGCTCCCCACTGCCTCAATAGGGAGCTAATCCACCTCAGACATCTGCCTCCTAGGGCCCCTCCAGCACTGACACCAAGAAGTCTAGATTCTGAGGTATTGGGAGTGTGATGGGGGGAGGTAGAATTCCAGACTTTCATGCAGAAGTCATTTACCTGTAAAGCACATTTACAAATACTCCCCCCAGGCGTTTTTTTCCATATTACATTTTTCCCTCTGCAACCCAAGTCTCTTATAGCTCTTTTTTCCATGTGGTGCACTTCCTTCCTGCTGCCCTGTTGGTTGGCCTCCAGGCAAGACCCCTGGGACTGGAGCATCAGGGCAGGTCAAGGTTCCCTGCTCAGCTGCTCACCCCAGTCCCTGGGAGCTATGTGCTGAGATTGCTGGGTGTTAGAGACCCAGCTGCTCAGTCATCGCTCCAACAGGCCTCTGAAGGGCCCCTTCCACCAGACTGCTGCCGAGACTCCCTGAGTCCCGGGAACCCCTGGAACAATAGCAGCAGTACACACACCACCACCACTCTTAGAGGAAAGCAACATGCTGCTGACTGTCTTCTTGCCAGGTGCTGAGAGCAGGAACTGGGATGCCCTCATTCACAAGACCTTCATAAAATGGGACATTGGATCATTCCAACCCTGTTGGCCCGGGGAATCAGGTCAGCTGCCTGAGTGCTGGCTTAGGTCTGCCTGAGTGCAAACTGAAACAGTTTGCCAAGTGTGTACCTTGAGAAAGGACTGGATGAGGGCACCCAAGTAAGGGGTGGAGGTCACACTCCCCAACTTGTAGTATCCCCAGTCCTCTCACACTCCACACCATGTCCTTCCTTAGGCCTCGGCACCTTTCATCTTCGGATTCAGATCTTTCTCAGCCTGGCCTGTGGTGTGCATACTAGCTTATCCTTGCAATTCCTGCTGCAGCCTTCTTGGGGATCCCTGCCCCACATCCTGGGCTCTCCCTATGATGCTGAGCCTTTGACCTCCAGGGGATGTTCCAAAGGGAAGACAGGACAGAGCTGAGGCTCTGAAAAACAGCACTGCATGTCATCCAGTGTCCCTGGTGATGAGCAGAAGGGGCATACTGAAGCCCTCACCTTTCTCCCACGACCAGGTACAGGGGTCAGGGAGAACTTTGAGAAAAGGGCTTCATCTTTAGCCAAAGAGAGTAAATGACATTTATAGTGACTTGTTCTGACAGAACCAGGACTTGGACCCCTTGTCTAGTGCTCTTTCCTTTGCAGCTGAGTTGGAAGAGATAGTATGGACGTGCGACTCTGTGGCCTAGACCAAATCCTCCAGATCTCTGATGGGACCAGTGTACCTTTCCTATGCAATGACAGTTGATGGGCCCGGCTGGCTTGTCTCTGAGGCCTTCTAAACAAGCAGTCCCCACTGCCTTCTCAGCTTCTGTTACTGCTGCCCGCTTCATGGTTGGAGGCTGCCAGGCTGGCTGCAGAAGGAGACTTCACTAAGGAAGGACAGTCTGAGAGAAGACACCTGCTACCCCTGGGATGGTAGGAGGGGCTCTCCAGCAGGTGGGCTCTGACTACTTCAGTATCACCTTCCCTTGGTAACACAGACCACCCCAATCCTGGGACAGTTCATTTCCATGAAAGAGCTTGAGATGGGCCCCTCACGGGCATTTACATGCTTTGAAGATAAAGGCTTTTGCTTGAAACATACCCAAAAAGGACCTGAGTGTCTATTCTGGAAGGTGGCTCTAAGGCACAAGGAGTTTTGTTGTTAGTCTTTTCCCCAGTGCTGGGGCCAGTGGGGGCTCTTTGTCCAAAGGTAACATTTCCAGTGCAAATGGGTAGGAGCCTCCCCCATGCCCAGAATCCCCCATCACCGGGGTAGGTCCTAGCAAGTCAGGTTGTCACACAGGTGAGGAGGAGCATGGCCTCAGAGAGTAGCTCTGGCAGCCTGGAGCTTCAGGGTTGTAGAGACCATCTCAGGCTCTCATAGGAGGACCAGAAAGGATAGGTGTGATGGCTGGAGTCCCCTTTGCAGGCTTTGCTTTTCCATGACTTAGTCTTTGACACCCTCATCTAATGGTGGAGAGCCAAGGCCCTGTGGGACAAAGGAGTCTCCTTCCACCAGGCCACCTGCCTACTGGCAATGACCAGCTGAAAGGATCAGAACTAGCTGGTGCACTCCTCTAAGGAACAAGTAGCTGGAAGACAAGGGACTTTTCATCACCTCACTTCTCCCCTCATGATCCAGATGGAAGCACTTAGGTTTCTGCTGAAGTGATGCAGGAGGCCATATCCTGGGGTTCTGCCTCTGTGAGAACTCCCTCCCTGCCCCAGAGCCCCTTGAAAGTGCTCACAGACAGAGGTTCACTAAAATGTGGCCTGAGGTTGGCCTAGCAATCAGCCCCTGCACTGGATGGCCCAAGGCCTTGATGGCTTCATGCAGATGTCACTTGCCACATCCATATGTGGTCACTGGGCTGTGCTCTTGGCTGCATGGGAAGAGCCCATCCCACTGCTTCTTCATGCTGATTCCACCCATACCTAAGGGATCCACCCAGAGCTGAGCAGTGGGCTCTGGTTCCAAGAGGCAGAATTGTGTCGATCCCTGAATCCCTACCAGTCAGGAATAGGGACCCTCAGGTGGCCAGTACACATGGGGAAATATAGTCAAGTTTCCTCTCAGCCTCCTGGGTGCAGAATGTCACAACTCACCACTGGGGAAGCCCTTCCCCTTGCTCATCTGCCCAGAGTATGTGCATTCATGCTCACTCACAGTGGCCAGCGCCCAGCACACACATTCTGACAAGCCCCAACACCCATGCCCTCTGGCTTTGGCTCCTGTGTGTGCAACAATGTCCCATGCTCCTAGGAAACAAGGCTAAATGAGTTTTTGTTCCTCTTCCCCCCAGTATAGCTAGGGGGTCCTTGCCTGGCATACAACACTGCCCTATTCCTCTGCCACTCAGGATGAGAGAAGGGCAGTCACTCGACCTGCTGTCTCTTTTCACACAAACTCTTGCCACAAAGATCCCAGGCCTCTGGCCAACCTGCCTGTACTGGCAAGCCCACCTGCCTTGCCCCTTCCCCAGTGTGCATCCAGTTGTCTGGAAGAAGTGAACCCTTCCCAGCTGTGCAGGGGAAGCAGAGAAATCATTTTAATCCTGGGGTGGACTGGCACGA